TACAATTCATAGATATCCGCAGAGTCCAGTTACCCACATTATAGCACAGCAACCGTACAAGAAGAAACGTACAAACAAACAATAGAATAGCAACATACCACTAATTTCCGTTCTCAGAACACCCATCTTTTTAGCCCACGATGAGCCGCCAGATTGGATCCCTCAACCGTTCCCTTTCTTACCCATCCAACTTCCAAAGTCACTCTCAGATCTTACCTCTTTTTGATTTCACTCCCTACCCTGAACCATCATATACTAATAATTCATCAAGCATGGACTCCGATGACACTTCAACAAACACAGTTTTTCACACAATTTCACAAATTAACACCTCTGATATTAAACCCATCCACTTTTTCCCAACCCCCTTTCAACCACTCCATACCCAAATTCCCGATGAACCTTCCTCAGCCCCTTCTTCCTACACTGATGCAAATTCAATTTACTCCCCAATGACTAGCGACCCACCTGGCCACTCTAGTCCCGTTGATGCAGAACTCGGGAACGATTTAGACAACTTCATAACCCTTCAACAACAGCTACAACCCCCTAGCACACTAACCATTCATCACCTCTTACAAACCGTTTCATCTTCAGAATCCTCCAACCCCCCATTCACTACTGGAGAAACCCGAGCCCACCGAGTATCTAAACGAAATCTCCCCAACAGCCCATTCCCTTCTAACCCTCGACCAGCCCAAACATTTTGGAATCATCCACTTCATACTAACACAAAAGAATTTCTCCAAGTGTGCTTGCCATTCTTTCTACAATATACTTACTATCGCTCAAATCCCAACGACGATCAACCAAATTACGTTGACGAAAATGTTTTATTTCTTACACTTTCATGGACCTCACAATATCATTTCAGTAACCCATTATCACTTCCACTTTTAATAATTTAGACGACGATGATTTTTGTCAAACTAGACTTTTTCACCTAACCACAGCACTTCATGAAAAACAATTCACAATTATCGGATTAAACCAAACATGAAATAGATTCACTGCACAAAAAACTAACTGATTTTCCATTAACCATTATGATCACGCCATTGCACGATCCAATGAAGATACCTTTTTAGGTGACGAAACTAACGCTAACTCCCAACTAACTGAAAAAGTTTTCATCAAACCAAAATAAGCATTTACTATAAAACTGCATGAATAAAAAATATGATCATATTATATCCACAGCACTTCGCGACACAAACGCCTACGACTACTATTTAAATAAATTTAACCATTTTTCATCAACCTTTAGTTTCCTAACAACAAAAGAACGTAACTTACACTGCTCACATCAAATATCGTTACGCACAAAACAAACTCACACATACACTTATTATAAATTTATACAACACCATTACACAACTAATACACCACCACGAAACCCACAACATCGATTTCAGTTTATTAACTCCAAATACACTTCACCATTCTTTTTAAACTTCACATATTGTATTAAAGACACTAACATGCAAGGAATCCTTAGAAACTACGACCCTATGCGACAATAGTTTATATTCCGCCCACTAACCAGAGTTTTTAACGTTAATGAATCCCTTCCACTAATTGTCCCTCACGAATATCTACAGCCCGTTGAAATCCCAGTCCTAGAATACAATCCCAACACTAAATATAATCGTAAGCTTTATAGTCTAATCCTAAACACACCGCCTAAATTCTCACCAAGTAGTGAAGAGCACAATATCATCAAAGCACTTGAACTGCTTTGGCCTCTACTGCAAACCAAATATATCACCCGCTTGCTTGCTAAACTTTCAACATCATCGATCGTCAATCACGATATTTTTCCAAATGGATTTTTGCTGACGATTAAGTAAGTATAATTATGTATCTTACACTAACAAATTCAAAACACAACTAACCATTCTTTGTAAAGGTTTCACTTTTTTTTAGAACTCATCACACAATCGTCTAAGACAAACAAAAAACAAATAAAAAACTGAAAACGCCTTTCTTGAAATTCTAAACTCGTATAAGCAAATCGTAGTATAATTAAAAAGCAGTAAAAATTTCCCCAACTTGCAGTAGATTAAAAAATAACCCTCGTTGCAATAAAAATTTTTTACCAAGCAGTATATTCATAAATTAAATTCCCAAAAAGCAGTAAAATTATTATTTCAAGGCAGTAAATTCACAAAAAATTGCAGATAAATTAAAAAAAGTACTAGCTTTTTTACAGGACGCTTCTTTTATAGATTTGAATCATTCACTCGCCCATAAAACTCTTTCCACAATTGCACAGCTTGCCCACGAAGAATTGTTTAAATAATGAATTTTAAGTTTTAACTCTCACTGATAACAACTCTAACCAGTTTTCACACGTTTCAAATTTTCCTTTAACCCGGTTGGAAGGAACTATATAACCAACGCAGCTTACTGACGTCACAAAACCACAAAAATATTAGCATGACTAAGAAAAAAACCACGGTACCCAAACCAGATTAAAACTGGATAAAATATTCTTTTGACGACCACTTTCAAGTCATACCACAACCGAATAAAACACTGAAAGTCAAAAGACAAAACCAAACCAATACGTTCGGTTTTTGAGAAAAGGACACAACCAAAACAAATAGGGAAAAACAAGTAATAAAAACGAAACCAAAGGTTGAACACAAAAAGAGACTCTGCACAAAGATACCATAAAAAATTAACCCACTTCTGGCTTAACCCACCAGAACGACGTCGCTCGAAAAACATGCCCACACCATGCACTACTGCACCCCGATACCCTATTTTTGAAAAGAGTGGCTCCAGAGTGAGGCATATGTAAACGAGTGAGGCATATGAAAAGTGAGGCATATGAAAAGAGAGGCATATGTGAACGATAAATGCAGTATGCATAGATTTCATAAAGCTTAAAACACGAGCAGGAAAGGAGACGACAATCCAACTTCGGAATGGCTAATCTATTCGATATGCTGTCTAAAGTCACTACCCTCAAAGGATTTAAAGTATGGAATCAACATCGCAGCAAAGAAAAACCATTGAACCAGACCAATGGCCATCTCGATGTTGACAACACGTACAAATCCTAGTCACTTGGCACTTCACATGGAAACGTCAAACTTCACCCTGCACGTAGTCTCGCTCTAAATTTAACGAAATCGATACATCATTGCATCAATCAGAAGTCTTGTGACACAATCACCCAAGACCACCACGATCAACGAGACCCATCTAGAAACACGAACATATCAATCTTCCTCAGTCAAACTCAAACAGCCACACTTCTTCTTTCTCCAAGAAGTCAATGCTCGCAACTTAAAAAAGAAACTACATCACCCGTCCTTTACTACATTAAAAATTTAAAAACTAAAAACTCTCTAAGCCTCGGATGGGTGGAACCATATCTAAACTAGAGTTTATAATTGGTTGTAAATATAATTCTCTATTCTGTAAAATATTCACAACTAACCAATCAAATTCCATCTCTAACATTTACACTTATTTGTAAGTGCTGAAACTACTTGTAGTTTCAGCACCAGAGCAATTTGATTTAAACTTAGAATACAGTTGTTCTCCTTCTGGAAATTAACTCGCATAAACCAGTATACACTCGATCTATTGAGACTAGGAGATACAAGAGTAAGTTGAGATCGGTATTAGACTAAGAAGTTGCACGAATCTATCCGCCCGAAAATAAGATAGCGTGACGAGCAGACGGTGTACCTTATCTGAAATTACTCTATGAGTAAACCAAATAGGTCATAACTCACATGCGTATGGCCTTCGGTGGCGGTCTTGTACAGTGCTGATTTAAATTATCCGGACAAAACGAACAAAACTTGAATTTTCAAACGCGTTTTTCTCAAATTGGGTGAAGATTAGACAAAAAAGGAACTGAACAAAAGTTGCTTAGAATTTCACCAGAATTAATATGGTGCAATTTTTCCTCCGAATTTTTCAACCAAAATTTCACCCCAAAAATGGGTCATTTTTTTTTTAATTAATCAAAAAATACGCTGAAACACTGTTTTAATTGATAAGAAAATTATATCACAAGAAGCCTCTTACACAGCCCAACAAAGTTTAACAAGGGTTACTTCTCCAAAAATTTGTGCTAATTGTTTTAAAAAAATCGGTTTTTAGACAGAGGTTCTGGGTTTTATATTGTAAAAATCACATTTATTGACTATCAAATAAATTTTTTCTCTTATACTAGTTTCTGGAGATTTAACCCTTCTGAAACTTTGTTAGGCTGTGTCAGAGGCTTCTTGTGATATTATTTTCTTATCAATTAAAAAAGTAGTTTCAGCGTATTTTTTTGATTAATTGAAAAAAAACCAAAATGACCAATTTTTGGGGTAATATTTTGGTTGAGAGAAAAATTTTGGTCGGAGAAAAATTGCACCAATTCTGATGAAATTCTAAGCAACTTTTGTTCCCTTCATTTTTTGTCTAATCTTAACCTAATTTGAGAAAAACGTGTTTGAAACTCAAGTTTTGTTTATTTTGTCCGGATAATTTAAATCAGCTTTGTATATGATCAGCAAATTTGCTGGTCTAGCTAACTGTGCATAAAAATCACGTTTATACTGAATAATTTTGCTGTGCCCGGGTCGATGTTGTGGTTTTATGACCAGACCGTCGCAACCAAAGATTGGTATTTCCAGACTTTGCGGATCGAGGCAATGTGTGGGCGACCGAAGGAAAATAGTCGCGGTGGTCGAAAAAATAGTCGCAACGGTCGAAAAAATAGTCGCGGCGGTCAAAAAATTAGTTAGGAAAATTTCATTTCTCGATCTGTTCACTTCAAGTTTTGACCGTTACATTGGTTATTTCGTTCGACAGTGCACCACTTTGTCGAGATAAAGTTTCGACCGTGATCGATTTATTTTTCGTCAGTGCTTGGGGTATGTTTCGAAATTGTGCTCGACTCAAACCCCCTATCTCAACTGTTTTTGGTCGATCCGGGCTACACGGAGAGGATTTGATGAAGTGAAATTACATGTGAACACAAAACATTGGTATAACAAGCTGAATTTGTCAAACTACTTGCAATTCCATTAGATAATTAATTAAGGTGAGCTTAATGTACAATATACAAAAACACTTTGTCGAGATAAGGCTCAATCAAGCTGCATTGCAAGTTATGAGATAAACAAAATAAAAACTATAGCAAACTTTAAGGCAGAATCAAACAACGTTAATTTGTTGGTATAAACAACGGCATCGTTTTAAGTTAGAAATTTTAGCTACCAACGTCAAATTATCTTAGTTAAGTACAGATAGATCATAAAAAGGATTTTTTGCTAAAAATTGAATGAATGATTTCTAATCTGCACATTCTAATATGAACTTGTAATTCTAATTTTATAGCAGCACCGTATTTGAAAGGTCGTTTATTAAGTTTTTAACTTCGACTTCATGGGCAGACTGATAAATTTAATTTCACAATCCCTTTCAATTTTTGTGACACAATTTTGTCTCTTCGCTAGTTTTGTTTATTTCTGCTCAAATCAAATTGACATTTGTTGTCGTAGTCAACATTGGCACTCCTGAGGCTCGGTTTAAAGCAGTGTTCACGTATTGGTTTGAATTGTCATTGCAGATGTTGTTGTTGGTTAGGTTGTTTGCCCTGTTGTTTACACCCGACAAACCCATTCGAGGACATACTCGATTCTGAGTTGGTGGTGATTGTTGCGTCAAACTCTGGTGATGTGCTTGTTGCGGACCTGCATTAAATTGGCTAGTCGAAAGGTGAGCAGGCATGTTCATCATGCTATGCAGGTGGGCGGGGTTGTTTCTACTTGGCGTGTTAGGGTTCTGTTGTGTGTGGTGGTATCCTTGCATGTTCGATGGCGAATTGGCGAGTGACTGTTGCAGTAACTCTAAACAGCAAACTTGTTCTCAGTAAGATCTAAAACACCGCCGAAATCCCCCCTCCCCCAATTGCTTCCAACTTTGTTCCAACTATGTTCACGAATATTAATGTTAGTTTCATTTTTGGGTCGAGTCGTCTAAAACTATTGTCCGTTTTTGATTGATACAAGACTGCTCGTATCAGGGCGAAGAGGTAACTTTTCCTGTGCCCACAAGACTCTCTGGTACTTTTTGAAAAATGCATCAAAAGTTTCAAAAAAGCGTTTTTAAATGCGCCAAAAATGCCGTATTTGTCGAGATTAGTATAATTAGTATTTTTCGAAATTATGGATGCGGTAAAATACAACCAGAGAGAACATTTCGGTGGAGTTAGGGTCAAATTCCAGTAGTGGGTGTGCGTTTCTGCCACCACCCCCCCCCCCCCCCCCCCTAACCCATCACTAAGTATGATTCAGATTTATGAGTTTTCAATGTAACCAATTGGATGCGAGGCAATTACACTGAGCAGCAACAAGAAGCAGAATCGGTACCTTATTTATATTATATTCAATACGTGATGTTCCGGTTTTCCTAAATGCAATCGACTTTGTGCGCAGTGGGCTCAGACGCGTATCTTTGAAAATCATTGCCTTCATTTTAGAGGGTATGAGAGTGGTTTATGGAATAAAATTTAATTTTCAGCTTGCATTATATTATGGTAGCGAAGGGTTTCCTGGTACGGAAAATTTTGATTTACCAGTGAGCCCAGGATAACAAATAGTCGTTTTCAGTTTGTTGAAAGTATACATCAAACTAAACTTGACTTTATCCACAACTTAAACACGGATAAATGGTTGCTGTGCAAGTAGCACATAATGTTCCGACCGAGACCATATTCTTTGATAACCACAAAATTTTTTTTTGTCAAATTGCGTAGTTTTTGTTTTTGGTGTGCTGAGAAGATCTAAGCGAAAGCCTAAAACTTTGATAGTTAAAACAAATAAGTTAGATTTGAGAACAGTTTTCCACATAAATCACATAGAAAAACTAAAAAACACAAAACAAAATCAACGAACTTATGAAATTTATGTCAATTTTTTGCAAATTTCTTTTGATTTGTTCTCAAAAATTCATTCCCAAGAAGGCACTAATAAGAATTTCGAGAAAACTTTTTCCTTGAGTACAACGAAGTAATATTTTGTTTTATAACTTACTTAAAAAATAGATGCCTTTTGATTTTCTACTTTCTACTACAATTTATGATTTGCGCTTTTTTGATAACATTAAGGCAACTTGAGGAAACTTGATCAACAGGTAAAGTTTTTATTCCGCTTGAAATCTAAAAATTAAATTCCACTTTCAAACCTAGAAAAATCATTGCCTTCATTTTAGAGGGTATGAGAGTGGTTTATGGAATAAAATTTAATTTTCAGCTTGCATTATATTATGGTAGCGAAGGGTTTCCTGGTACGGAAAATTTTGATTTACCAGTGAGCCCAGGATAACAAATAGTCGTTTTCAGTTTGTTGAAAGTATACATCAAACTAAACTTGACTTTATCCACAACTTAAACACGGATAAATGGTTGCTGTGCAAGTAGCACATAATGTTCCGACCGAGACCATATTCTTTGATAACCACAAAATTTTTTTTTGTCAAATTGCGTAGTTTTTGTTTTTGGTGTGCTGAGAAGATCTAAGCGAAAGCCTAAAACTTTGATAGTTAAAACAAATAAGTTAGATTTGAGAACAGTTTTCCACATAAATCACATAGAAAAACTAAAAAACACAAAACAAAATCAACGAACTTATGAAATTTATGTCAATTTTTTGCAAATTTCTTTTGATTTGTTCTCAAAAATTCATTCCCAAGAAGGCACTAATAAGAATTTCGAGAAAACTTTTTCCTTGAGTACAACGAAGTAATATTTTGTTTTATAACTTACTTAAAAAATAGATGCCTTTTGATTTTCTACTTTCTACTACAATTTATGATTTGCGCTTTTTTGATAACATTAAGGCAACTTGAGGAAACTTGATCAACAGGTAAAGTTTTTATTCCGCTTGAAATCTAAAAATTAAATTCCACTTTCAAACCTAGAAATTTTTCACGTTTTTTCGTACCATTTGCACGTTCTTATTTGGAGAGTGCTATTTACGTCACTTTCAGCCAATGGATTTCAACAGAACTCAAGAAGTGAATATATACCTAGGTATATTCATAAATGCATCAATATGTATGAATGCGCATCTGTAGTTATAAGAGGATTTTAAGACTTTTTCCTGAAAAAAAAATAGTCACCAAGACTTATATAAGAGTCTTCACTACGTTCATTACTCTTAAAAACAAATTTAAAAAATAAAATACACCCGAATACAAAGTTCCTATACATTTTCAATGGTCGGAACAAAAAGCGGAATTTAAAACCTTGAAAAAATCTGGTGAACTATTTCAAAACTTCCAGCAGAGCGCTGCGTTGAACTCCCAAAATTGTTTGCTCTTTGCTTGTTTACTATAATATCATCATATGAAATACAATTAGTTACCTGCATCGTAGACTTCGTAATGATGGAGGCTCTGGGCACCTAAACAAACAGAAAAAATTCGTTGAGAAAGAAATTCACGCAATTATTGACATGCTACAGTAGTATTGGCTTAAGCATGTTTAATAAGCTCTCGCAGGCAGGCGCGGAACTAGGAATTTCTAGAGGGGGGGGGGGGGGGGCAAAAAATTTAGGTCGACCAAAAAATCGCGTATTTTCGGCGCGCGCTCCCCCTTCAAAATCAGTATATATTGGCGCCAAAGGCGCCTTTGGAAAAATTTTAAGGGCAGTCATCCAAAAATGGATATCTCAAAATAGTACAAAAGGGGGACTGCTCCACCCTAAATCCCCCCTAAATCCGCTACTGCTCGCAGGTATTTTAGTGTTTACAGTAAATAGTAGGTAGATATTTATCAAAAAGTTTAAGTATTCATGTTGTCCAAAAGTGTATATGTGTCAGCTCCACTGTTCTGGCCGCCATGAATCTCACTACCAACCTGATATTTGTTTGGGCTGGTCCAGCTCGTTGTACAAATGTTCGGGTGATCTGGGGGGAGGGGTGGGTTGATATCTGTTGGGGTTAGTCGCAAATTTACAGCCGGGCGGGTTGCTCTGAGATTGGTAGGGTTGGTAATCAGGTGGCGATGAGTTAGGGTGATAAACTATTCCTAAGTGGGTTGGTGGGTCGCGGTGGTCCCCCTGATTGCATGTATATGGTGTGGCTGTGCAACTGTTAGAAGGGTGGGGTTCATTGTTTTGTGAGGAAGGGTGAGAGGGGCCATGATGCGAGTGGGGGTTGTTATTGCACTGTGGCATGGACTGGCACTCCTCATAGCAGTCTCCGCACTGGTATACGCCCTCGTTTGGGTTCTAAAACAGCAGGTTAGAATGTTAAATCTATCTAATTAATTAGTGTGGCAAAATAACAAACCTGAACTGTTTTCTAATATCTGTAAAACGCAAGAACACATAAATTATACTCACTTAAGTAGAGGATAGCTTCAAATTTCAACTGGAGTGTTAACATCTGATTTTTATCGAATCTTGACTTCAGGGGCGGATTTAAGGGGGGGGGGGGGGGGGGTGGGGCGGACGCATTTTTTTTTCTTCATGGATTCGACACCCTGCCGACCTAAGGGGTCCCCCTTTTCTACTATCTTGAGATATCCATTTTTGGCAGTCAGGCCCTAAAATTTTTCTAAAGGTGCCTTTGGCGCCAAAATATACTAACTTTCAGGGGGGAGCGCGCGCCAAAAAACGCAATCTTTTTGTTTAAAATTTTCCAAAAAGAACCTGAAAACGCTTTTTTTTTCGCCTGTTTTTTCAAAATTTGGCCAAAGCAGGGACATTTTAGTGCTTTGGGGGAGCTCGAAAAATCAATTTGGTCGACCTAAAAAAGGTCGACAAAATTTTTGAATTTTTTTTTTGAAAAACCGCCCCCCTCGAGAAAATCCTAGATCCGCCCCTGCTTGATTTTATTGGTTATGATGTTTTTTAAGTAGCATTTCTTTTAAAAAATGGAAATCGCTAAAACTAGTTTCCCTCCAATTTAAAAATCCTTGTAAAATATTTTGAAACGTCTATATTATGATTTCATTTCTTTAACTACTTGAGAAAAACATTTTTAGATACGTTTACCTTTTGTCCTGCGATGTTCACAACAAGTGGCTGGTAACATTCTGGTTGGGCGGCGTAGTTGGAACTATTCCCATTCTTCATACTCATTGGCATCGTATTCATGGCCATAGTCCCACCCATGAAGTGATTCATCTCCATTCCTTGTGAAGTGGCCATGGTCGGTTGTGGACATAGAGTGCCCGAAGGTCCCGGGCCCATGTATGAGCCATTCATCAGGGTCAAATTTCTCTGGGCACTGGCAGGTAAAATGACTTGCCACTGACCACCCGCGTACTCACTCGGAGGCTGCAGTGACTGTTCTAGCTTCACATTTACACTTTTGTAATGACCTTTTTTATTTCTTCTCCAGATAAGTACCGAAATTATGGCCAAAGCTATCCACACTATGGCACCAGCAATAGCTAGCACCCATGGATGGGCCACAATCCAGGAAGTACCATCAGTAGTACCGCCGCCGGCTTTCGGGGCTACAAGAGGCGAGAAAACTCCAACACCCGCTTTTGTCCTGGCAGCGATTGAAACTCGGAAATCGTTCTGTTGTTCGACTATAGTGAACGTGCACTGAGTCTCGCTGGTGTTCAGAGTCTGCAGAGGCGTGTCGGAGTCGCCGAAATAAAGAGCGACGCTGTATCCTAGAGCAAAAAGCGCATTTCATATCAGAAACTACAAAAAGAAATTTCCTCTTTTTATTTTCTACTTTTCGCTTTTCCATGATTTCAAAGCTTTGAGTAGGTTTTTTGATAGCTCTGTAAATTTTTTTATGAAAATCAGACTGCGAAAAAAGAATATCCGTGGGATGACTCACCAACAACATGCCCTTCGCGCTGTCTCTTTGGCTCAGACCACGTGACCAAATATCTGCCACCTGACATCAGTTTCAAAATGATATTATCTACTACATCTCGTGGCGTGCCTTCGGGAGTTGTGAAGAAAATAGGAGCCGAATCCAGTCCAGGCACCGACTCGTAGTAAGGTTGTATCGATGCCATGTAAGAAGACCAGGGGTCAAGGCTAGTCACAAGCATCGCTCTAGCATAGGGGTCATTAACCTCTATGACCTTGTAGTTCTGAGGCTGGAAGTTGTTGCCTCCATCGTGCTCGGCGTACTTGATTGTGAATCCCTGGACAAAGTATGAGTTGTGGAGGACATTCCACTGGATCCACGCACTAGTCGAGTTCACTGCAGTTCCTTCGAGTGCCTCCACTTCCACCAATTCTATCTGTGGCTTGATGTCATCTGGTCGGATTCCAGTCATAGCAGCGTCTGTATTGCGTTCTAAATAAGGAGTGCAGAAGTAGATTTAGAAGAGGCACCCCTCACGGATTCGACCCCCTTACCATTCTTTTGTGTCCCTCCTTTGCTACTATTTTACGACATCCATTTTCGATCGATTGACCCCAAATCTGTTCTAAAGGTACTTTCGGCGCCAGGACGTACTAAATTTTAGGTGAGAAAACGAGCAAAAAACACGCAATTTTTTAGGTCATTTTGGACTACTTTTCTCGAAAATTTGCTTAGCGCAAAAATTTTAGGGCAAAATAGGAACTTTATAAACTGTTGGGAGACCTCGGAAAATCACTTCTCGAAGAAATTTTAGTTCCGCTTCTGTAACAATTCTTACGGTGTTTATTAGATATATAACATCATCATTCAATTCCAATTTAGTTGAACTTTTCCAAATCCAATTGATCACTTGATTTGTTTTTGCTTGAGTTGATGCAATTTTGTTACACTTTTTTTTCGTATAACTTTAAGCTTTGTCACTATTTTAGGTCACCCTCAGAAACTTTAAATAATTTTTGCATAAATTACTTACAAGTAGAATAAATGCTAAATAATTCTATTAAATGTTCAGATCTGTTTTTTTTCTATCAAAATGAAAATGAAAGCAATATGCTCAGTAGCTTAATTTTAAAATAACAACCATAGCAACTTTTTTCCAACTTACCAACTGTTCGAATTCGGCTTGAAACTGGACTGGGCAGTCCGAACCCCAGATTGTTCACTCCTCTAACTAGAAACTCATAGTCTTCATGCGCGGCTAGCTGGCCGATCATCAATTTTGGCGACACTGCTCTATCACCAACAGTGTGCCAAGCGAACACATGTGTTTCGTAGCTGTACATTTCCACCGCATACTCCGGACTCTGGTTCTCACCAGGGTACCAAACTAAGGTGACGGAATCCTGTGTGACATGGGTGATGATCGGCTTTCCCACTGGCATAGGAAGTTTTTTGGGACTGGGAGATTCTTTCAGGCCGTCTTCTGAAAGAGGAAAGTTAACAAACATCAGACATATGATCCAACAAAACTTGCTGTTGGAGAACTTTGGTGGAATGGCATTTTATAAGGTCAGTATTCAGGATTTGAGCTTTGAAAAAAAACCTCCAAACTCTGATATTGTTTAATTTTGAGTAGCTTTTTAGGCTAGTTTTTTTTTCATTTCAGCGCGCATCTCTGGAGTTTCAAACGTTAAACTTCAAAGGAACAGAGTCACTAAACCAACTATACTTTCGTAATGAAGATACCCGCTTACAAACGTCGGAATGAAAACTATGTTAATCCAAAATGAGGAGGATTTAGTTTCTACACGATATAGTTGAGTGAGTGTGTCTGATTGCTGCGGTAGACCAACTGAATTTTTTCTCGCTCAAAACTGTGGGGGAAGGCCTGGGAACAGCAGGTATGTGCGTTTCAGGGTCTGTGTGTGTGTGTGTGTGTGTGTGTGTGTGTGTGTGTGTGTGTGTCTGTTTGTGTGTGTGTGGGGAGGGGGATGGGGGGTGTTGTCTTACTTTTGACTGTGATGACGGCGTATCTCTCGGTGGTGCCTTGACTAGTGGATGCTATGCACTTGTACATGCCACTGTCCTCGTGTCTCACATCACTCACTACCAGCGCCCCATTGTTCTCCGTGTTGATCCTAACACGACACCAAACCTCATTATTCACATAGTAGACAGTAAACATAAGTACATATAATAGATAAATTAAACAACACGTGATTGGAAAAATTCACAATTAAGTGAGACTACACAAAACCATTGAAACTTCCAAAGATATAGTTTTAGTTTACGTATAAATAATTGCAAAAACTTCTGTCATTTAGAAACTTCTTTCGACATTAACACAGTAAGTAACTATCACTCACTATTTTCTAAAAGAACTATTTTTTCTGAATCGCATGAATTCGTTCAACCATATAGTTCGACATCAACAGCACAACTCGTAGTCGTTTTTGATATGCGTTTTTCGCAAACGTTCATTACGAATCATACAAAACACAGATTCAGGTATGTGCTTTACCAAGTTCGTGTTTACTGAAGCAAAGCAAAAGCAGCCAATTTATTTTTTCACCCATATTCTCTCATGAATATAGGCTGATGGCATTTTGAAAGGTGATTTCAAGACAAGTCCAGTTTTGTGACCCATTCTTGAAAAACATGGTTTCAAAAAAGCAGAAGTAGTCTTAGTATCTATCTAGGGATTCAAATCAAATTTGTAAGCATAAAAACTTCAAACTTAGTTTCAGCTCACTTAGAAATGTTAAGAAAGTCGTATTCAGCATTTGATTTTAAATTTAGAAGTTAAGTAAGAAAGAATAAGTTATTAAAAGTGTACTAGAAAACTCTCTATGGGTTATGTGTCATTTGGTTCCGTGGGTTCAATTTACCTTTGATTAATTTCAAAATGCCTGCTGAAAATGAAAACACAACCTGTTCACACATTTTTACAGTCTGGCCAAAATTGATTCAAACCACATTTGGAGAGGGAAAATCAGTTCCCCAAACAACCCTCTAAAACTATCTTTGGAGTTTGGGGATTTGTGCTTATCAAATGTCAAAACAGGGTTTTAACTAGCGACTAATGCACTAATAAAACGCAATCTGAATGAAAATAAAAATCGGATTTGGAGAGATTCCGGGTGTATTAAGGACCAAGAGGCGAGCCACTGATAAAAAATGATAGCGCACCAGTTGTAAGAGGATACCCTTTGAGTTAGTTTTATCCCAAGCTTAGCATAATAGTCACAACGGAACTAAATCAAGGGAATAGATAGTCATTGTTTTCATAGATTGGTTACTTCTGTCAAAATTCATAGCTGGAAACTATAAATTAGGGCTGTCCCATTGTTTTTAACAGGTGTTCAGTTAAGTTGCAACAGTTTTTTAATTTTCTGTATAAAAAGTAACATAAAACAAACAACGTTCAAAATATCAGTTCAAAAGGTGGTCTCTCAGCTAAAAAAACTATTTTTTTTTCATCAGCCAAACGAGGAAAATGATTCTTAATCGTGACGCCTTGTCGAAATTGTTCTTCCCTTCTCATACTCGACAAACTTTTTCCTCGCTTGGTTTTGATTATAAACCGTTTCAATACACCAGGCATTTTAACGAGCAGCATCAACGCAAAGTTGCTGACAAAAAATGCAAATAAGCTCGACTCTAATGCTGAATTTATGTACGAAATGTGCAATGACGCTGTTAGTAAGCGGGCTTTTAAGTTTTAACTACCTAAAAAAATTCCTCATTTAAAATTTACCAAAAAACTGTAGAAGCTCATTTTACAATTTTCTTTTGATTAATATTTAATAAAATCGTTCTTGTTAGCAAACTCTGACTTAGACTACCAGCTTAGAAAACAGTTTTTAAATCATTTTGAATTTCCGGTAGTACAAAAAATTAACACACGAAAAAATTGCATTTAAACCCAAATTGTGAAAATAAGAGCACGCTTTCCACCATTTCCACTTTGGACTTGGAGAGTGAATTTTGACTTCCTCTTGGTAAGGAAACAGAAAAATGAGCTTAAAAATGTAACTGGAAATCAAATGAGAGTCTACAAAATTTATGTTTCCCTCTAAGAACAAAAAAAATGTTGACCTAAAATTGTATAGCTTATGAACGTCTACTGCGTTTTAGTGATGCAATTTTTCAGAAAATGACTGATCTTAGAAAAAGTAATTTAGTATTTACATCCTTGCCTTGAAAAAATACAAGTGCAAAGAATAAAACTGAATTAGTTTTACAAAGAAGTAAGCTAAAGATAAGACTGTCGTTTCTTCAACGCATTTGACCACGTCTTATTTTCTTTCCTTTTTTGTGAATATTAGGCTATTGAGAGTAGTGAGACAGACAGTGTGCGCGTAGTTATTTTGTTCACTGAAAACAGAGAAGAACTGTTTTTGGGTGTATTTTAGTTTTTTACAACTTTTTGATCCAAGCATTGAAAATGGGAAGGAACTTTGTCTTCGGATGTTTTAGTTTATTTGTTTGTTCTCCACGCAATACCGAAAATCCCGTATCATCGGAATAGGTTGATAACGCATTACCAAAAATCACGTATCATCGGAATAGGTTGATAACGCATTACCAAAAATCACGTATCATCGGAATAGGTTGATAACGCATTACCAAAAATCACGTATCATCGGAATAGGTTGATAACGCATTACCAAAAATCACGTATCATCGGAATAGGTTGATAACGCATTACCAAAAATCACGTATCATCGGAATAGGTTGATAACGCATTACCAAAAATCACGTATCATCGGAATAGGTTGATAACGCATTACCAAAAATCACGTATCATCGGAATAGGTTGATAACGCATTACCAAAAATCACGTATCATCGGAATAGGTTGATAACGCATTACCAAAAATCACGTATCATCGGAATAGGTTGATAACGCATTACCAAAAATCACGTATCATCGGAATAGGTTGATAACGCATTACCAAAAATCCCGTATCATCGGAATAGGTTGATAACGCATTACCAAAAATCACGTATCATCGGAATAGGTTGATAACGCATTACCAAAAATCACGTATCATCGGAATAGGTTGATAACGCATTACCAAAAATCACGTATCATCGGAATAGGTTGATAACGCATTACCAAAAATCACGTATCATCGGAATAGGTTGATAACGCATTACCAAAAATCACGTATCATCGGAATAGGTTGATAACGCATTACCAAAAATCACGTATCATCGGAATAGGTTGATAACGCATTACCAAAAATCCCGTATCATCGGAATAGGTTGATAACGCATTACCAAAAATCACGTATCATCGGAATAGGTTGATAACGCATTACCAAAAATCACGTATCATCGGAATAGGTTGATAACGCATTACCAAAAATCACGTATCATCGGAATAGGTTGATAACGCATTACCAAAAATCACGTATCATCGGAATAGGTTGATAACGCATTACCAAAAATCACGTATCATCGGAATAGGTTGATAACGCATTACCAAAAATCACGTATCATCGGAATAGGTTGATAACGCATTACCAAAAATCCCGTATCATCGGAATAGGTTGATAACGCATTACCAAAAATCACGTATCATCGGAATAGGTTGATAACGCATTACCAAAAATCACGTATCATCGGAATAGGTTGATAACGCATTACCAAAAATCCCGTATCATCGGAATAGGTTGATAACGCATTACCAAAAATCACGTATCATCGGAATAGGTTGATAACGCATTACCAAAAATCACGTATCATCGGAATAGGTTGATAACGCATTACCAAAAATCACGTATCATCGGAATAGGTTGATAACGCATTACCAAAAATCACGTATCATCGGAATAGGTTGATAACGCATTACCAAAAATCACGTATCATCGGAATAGGTTGATAACGCATTACCAAAAATCACGTATCATCGGAATAGGTTGATAACGCATTACCAAAAATCCCGTATCATCGGAATAGGTTGATAACGCATTACCAAAAATCACGTATCATCGGAATAGGTTGATAACACATTACCAAAAATCACGTATCATCGGAATAGGTTGATAACGCATTACCAAAAATCACGTATCATCGGAATAGGTTGATAACGCATTACCAAAAATCACGTATCATCGGAATAGGTTGATAACGCATTACCAAAAATCACGTATCATCGGAATAGGTTGATAACGCATTACCAAAAATCACGTATCATCGGAATAGGTTGATAACGCATTACCAAAAATCACGTATCATCGGAATAGGTTGATAACGCATTACCAAAAATCCCGTATCATCGGAATAGGTTGATAACGCATTACCAAAAATCACGTATCATCGGAATAGGTTGATAACGCATTACCAAAAATCACGTATCATCGGAATAGGTTGATAACGCATTACCAAAAATCACGTATCATCGGAATAGGTTGATAACGCATTACCAAAAATCACGTATCATCGGAATAGGTTGATAACGCATTACCAAAAATCACGTATCATCGGAATAGGTTGATAACGCATTACCAAAAATCACGTATCATCGGAATAGGTTGATAACGCATTACCAAAAATCACGTATCATCGGAATAGGTTGATAACGCATTACCAAAAATCACGTATCATCGGAATAGGTTGATAACGCATTACCAAAAATCCCGTATCATCGGAATAGGTTGATAACGCATTACCAAAAATCACGTATCATCGGAATAGGTTGATAACGCATTACCAAAAATCACGTATCATCGGAATAGGTTGATAACGCATTACCAAAAATCACGTATCATCGGAATAGGTTGATAACGCATTACCAAAAATCACGTATCATCGGAATAGGTTGATAACGCATTACCAAAAATCCCGTATCATCGGAATAGGTTGATAACGCATTACCAAAAATCACGTATCATCGGAATAGGTTGATAACGCATTACCAAAAATCACGTATCATCGGAATAGGTTGATAACGCATTACCAAAAATCACGTATCATCGGAATAGGTTGATAACGCATTACCAAAAATCCCGTATCATCGGAATAGGTTGATAACGCATTACCAAAAATCACGTATCATCGGAATAGGTTGATAACGCATTACCAAAAATCACGTATCATCGGAATAGGTTGATAACGCATTACCAAAAATCACGTATCATCGGAATAGGTTGATAACGCATTACCAAAAATCACGTATCATCGGAATAGGTTGATAACGCATTACCAAAAATCACGTATCATCGGAATAGGTTGATAACGCATTACCAAAAATCCCGTATCATCGGAATAGGTTGATAACGCATTACCAAAAATCACGTATCATCGGAATAGGTTGATAACGCATTACCAAAAATCACGTATCATCGGAATAGGTTGATAACGCATTACCAAAAATCACGTATCATCGGAATAGGTTGATAACGCATTACCAAAAATCACGTATCATCGGAATAGGTTGATAACGCATTACCAAAAATCCCGTATCATCGGAATAGGTTGATAACGCATTACCAAAAATCACGTATCATCGGAATAGGTTGATAACGCATTACCAAAAATCACGTATCATCGGAATAGGTTGATAACGCATTACCAAAAATCACGTATCATCGGAATAGGTTGATAACGCATTACCAAAAATCCCGTATCATCGGAATAGGTTGATAACGCATTACCAAAAATCACGTATCATCGGAATAGGTTGATAACGCATTACCAAAAATCACGTATCATCGGAATAGGTTGATAACGCATTACCAAAAATCACGTATCATCGGAATAGGTTGATAACGCATTACCAAAAATCACGTATCATCGGAATAGGTTGATAACGCATTACCAAAAATCACGTATCATCGATAATATATACCAGTATAGTTCTTTCAGTTTTGATTCGAATATTTAAAAGTCTGGGTCAAGAAAGTTTTTGATTTTAGTCTAAATTTGAGCAAAACCCTTTGTAGTCGGTTTTTAATAGGTCCTTTTCTTATAATTCAAGTTAAGCCATGAAAACTTAGCTCCCAGTAAAATTTAGCGCTCTACCTAAATGTCTTTTAAAGTGTTCTACTGCGCTTTTTGCAGGGCAACTGTCTTTCCTTCTTTTTCTACTTTCAAGTTTTTTTCGACGCAAAATCAAATACTTAACTTATAATCGAGTAGATCGATTGATAGATCAAATGCAATCCCTTTCAGTCGTGATTCGAATGAGTTTAAGAAACTTCAGAAAATTTTTCTCAGTGTCAAGAAAAACCGGCTTTTAATTGTTGTTCTTTTATCTAACTTCGAGTGACTAAAGCAGCAAGCGAGCAGGCTTCTAAACTGAGGATAGTTTTATTTAAATGTGAAAGCTTTGTTTTAGTACGGAAATTTGCTAAAGCCTGCTTGGGAATACTTTTTTTAAAATAAAAAAGTCGGCAAAAAATATGGAACAATTTTGGTAAACTTCATTTGAGCTTTTTGTTTTTATTCATTTGTGGATAAAAACTGTTAACGAATATGTTTAATTGTTCTGAGAATTGAAAAAATGTGGAGGAACTTTGTATTCGGGTCTGTTTCAGTTTTTTTATTTTATATTCTTTTTGTTTTCTAGGCAAAATCAGGAACCACAAATAATCATCGGAATGGGTCGATTGATATATCATATTAAAGCGCGTTCAGTCGTTATTCGAAGGACATTAAAATTTTTCTAATTTTTTCCCCCGTTTTGAGAAAAAACTGGTTTAAAATTTTTCAGTCTTAGTCCAATTTCGAGCGAGTAATTTGATCGTGTAACGTTCGTTATAAGGTGTATATAAATATTGGCCCTTTAAGCTGTTAGAAACTTTTTTTTACTAAAAAAAAACCGGTTTTGGAAGCTTCATTACGCGTTTTCTTGGCCATTAAAATTTGCATACAAATTTAAAACTTTTAATGCAGAAAATTAGGAAAAAGTTTCGAAATTTCTTCTTTTTTTTTTCCATTATTTATTTAATTATTGACGATAGTTTTAGTATTCATGCCTAATTGACTAACGTTCCACGCGTTAGTATAGATCTATCATGATACCACGCAGAAGATACGACGCTAATTTGAAGATTAAAAAAATGTTTTTTTTTTGTAGATTTGTACGAATGTGGTCGGAACTTTCTGAGCTACTTGCGCAGCAACGGGTTATCCTTGTTTACTACTACTATCAAATATGCCAAAGTTATAAGCGTTTTTATCAGATCCTCTCATCGCGCTACGTACATAAAACGCCTCAGTCTGAAAAAAAAAACAGAAACTGTTTTTTTTCTTATTGTTGTCGGAACTTTCCGTGCTACTTGCACATCAACCGGCTATCATTTTTACCTGTTGTCTCTAGTTCTGGTGTTGCCTATAGCATTCCAAGCCTCGTTCACGAATCGCCAGGTTATGGTGACTGCACTCTCACTACTAGCAGCACACGGCAGTCGCAGTCTGCCCCCCACCTGCATAGAGTGGTTGAAGGGTGCTATGGTTATAATGGGAGGACGCAGGTTCGAGTGGCCTGAACAAATAAATCAACTTCATTACGGGTAAACAGAGCAAATCAATTATGCTTTGCGTATGTTGTCCAATACCACTACTCACTGATGAAATATACAGCAACGAAATCTTACCAGGGCAGTTCAATTTCAATGAATTTGCCTTCTGCCACGAAAAATATTCATAAAAAACTTCAAAGGTATTCTTTTTAAGCCATGAAATATTCGATACATCATGCTTGGAAATTCACCTGAAACTGCCGTTTATATTTGTATCAAAGGAAGCATTGGAAAGTACCAGCGCTACTTCTTGTGCATATGACGGCATTCCAATTCCTCCAGGAATGGTTATAGATTACATGTCAGTTTGAATGGTGTAAAAGTACTTCCATAATCTCAGACTAACGTGCAAAAATGACGGCATTTTTGATCACAAAGTATGGGTTTTAATCACGTCTGTGTTTTTTAGTTGACAGTGGTTTACCACGCGAACGAAATATGAATGAACTAAGATAAACAAAATTGGGCATTTTTTCTTTTTTTTATATGGATGGTAGTATGATTTGCATAAATTTCATTTCCCGGGAAAATCGGAGAAAATTTAATAAAATCTGTAATGAAAAAGAGCTCTTAGCCCCGACCTTTGTTCAGAAAAGTGCGAACAAGTAATAACCAGGCAATAAAATTGGTTTTGTTCCTTAGACCATTTCCTGCATAATACTGTGTAATGAGCTGACCTTTAACTACTTGACCTCATTGGCACCAAAAATAACTCAACAACATTTGCCCAATTTTACTGTATACACTTTCTCAAGTGAATAATTTGGATAAAACTGTTTCAAATCCTTTGAAAAAAATATACAAAAAATGACAGTTATTAAAATCATTGTCTCGGAAATGACAGCTTGTTTGGAAAAGCGCGTCTAAGGGTTTTCAGTTGCTTTTAGTTCGTCAGTCAATTTTGATAGATACCGGAAGGAGCATTCGAAAGTAGCATTCGGAAGGAGTCAATCAAAAATTTTGCTCATGAAAACTTCGTAAAATGGTTGAAAACGAAATCAATAATTAATTTGTTCAATGAACTATTGAAGCAAAATTGAAATTCACGTTCTGAAATTCTCCGTTTCATAAACTGTTACTTAATATGCAGACATTGGTTAATTTAGACGGGTTTTTATTATAGCGAAAGTAAATGTTGCTTCCCATTTTTTCCCTTGGGAGGGAAATTTAAGATGCGTGAGGGTGAAATCAGGTAACCTTTATGCGCCCAAATGCGACTCAAAAGTAACATATGTGATAGAATTGTGATTCATACGCTACGATGACTTTCTCAAAATTGTCTGGATCAAATTAGTGGAAAGGAAATCTTTGTTTACAGTTTAATCTAATTGCAAAAAGTAACATCTGCTTTTTTCATTTTTAAAAGCTTATATTAAATTCAGAAATTAGATAAAAACAAGTCAAATTCTGATATGAAAAATTGACGAACAGCTGCAGTTGGATTTGAATCCAGATTTATGGTGAATAAAACTCGATTATCTAGTTCCTGAATTCAGAAAAAGTATTAGTTTTCTTAACTAATTATGGGTTATCTAGATTTGTGTGTGAAGACAAAGTTTCTTTGAAATGGGTATATGCAGCCAAACATCGTAGCAAAAATTGGTAAAAATGATGAGTGAGAACAAAAATAAGACATGTATGTAATAGTTGCCCGAAGGAGTGTGGACAGTACGATAATAATTTAGGAGAGCTTACTTCTGACTTCGACGAATATCGTTTCGTCTATCTGTTGTGCATTGGCAGTTGGCTGCAGTGCTTTGCAGATGTAGTACCCCCTGTCGTCTGCAGTGACGTTTCTCAAGATCAGAGTCCCATTCTGCAACACCTCTTTGTTTTCCAATGTCTCCCCTTGAAAAATGAGGTCCTGAAATATAATTAATCAACCTTTCGCAAAAGTTAATCATAACTGCCACATTCATTGCTTGAATAACGTACAGTTTAACTGATGTAGAAACATTAAATACACTAATTAGAAACGCATCAGGAAACCATCAATAGTCAAACTTCAAAAAAATTAACAGAGAACTTTGTTCAAAGTTAAGAAAAGTCACTTGAAAAGACATTTCAGCAAATGCAAACAAAAACAGAAATGGCCATTAAGAAAAAAAAACATTTGCTGCAGGCTGTTTAGGACACATTTTCGTATGAATGACCCTTATTCATCTGTTGGCATTGGCCGTAGGTAACAAGTGGAAAGACTTGACAAGTTGTTGTGAGGGAAACATCACAAAAACAAAAGCAGCGGCAGAAAAGAACGCATTAGTGACTGATAGAATATTTCCTTTTTCTAATTTTCCTCCCTTTTCCAAAAAACAATGAGTAAATCAAGAAAAAATCCAATTCTGTTTTTTTTGTTGTGGGGGCGACAGCAGTCTGTGGTTGACAAACAAAAAGAGATTTGTATTGACTTCCAATTGAACTTGGCAACAAAAGATGAGCTGCAATCTCCGAGGCAGAAAACAGATGCATTCTCAGCTATATCACCTTCATTCTCCATTCTAGCAAATTCCATTGATTAACGTCGCACTTCCTTATCTGATAGATTCTAACGCTCGCAGTATTTTAAGTGAACTTTCTTTTGATCATACTGCTTCTTCAAATAAATGAATTTTGCAAACTTTCTGCACCAAACTCAAACTGCAAGAAATGGCTTAAGGTTAAAGCAAAGTAGATATTTTTTACTTTTCGATCAACTTTTTCCAAGCCACGTTTTTCTGAGACTTATTATCCAAAATATGATACTGATACTAAACTAGGTGTTCGGTTACTTGATACATTGGAGTGGTGAATGAATTGTACTAACAGATGGTCGTTCCTTCCTCTCCCACACAATAGTGACTCCGTGCTCGTGGCCGACTGTGCTGCTGACCAAACAGGGTATATGCACTGAGTGCCCAATGAGTGCCACTGTGTCCACTGGCTTAGTGGCAAACTCCAGAATTGCTGAAATAATTAATCTTTTAGGTCACATTATTCTTTTATCAATCAAGTCTTTGGCTGGTATGTGAGTTTTGTTTGAATCATTTTACCTCGAAAATATATTTTTTGCCTTGTCGCTACTTTTCCATAATTAAAACAAGGATAATTAAAACAAATAAACAAAACTTTTTAGACCGATGATGATCTGTATTGATCGAAAGTGCTTTTAAATTTATTTAACTAAAATATTCAAGCCTTGAATCTAAAATTCATGGCTTATTCACTGCAAATTTGCGACTATCTTTCTATAGAAAGACTTCTTGCTCCTCGCTTTACACGCCCAAAACTTTGAAAGAAAAATAAAAAATTACGAACCGGTTTTTCTCGACACGAAAAAATGTTGGAAACTTTAAATTGTTTACGTCACGCCTGAAAGAGCTTTAATATGATATATCACTCGAACCAGTCCGATGATTTTTTGTTGTACCGGATTTTGCGTGGAAAACAAAAAAAAAGAAAAACAAGGAACGCCGGTTACCATAGTCTTAAAAATTATAAAAAGTTTTTTCAAGAGAATAGTTTTTATAAATTAATTTCAATTTTTCTGCGTGGGGCGATGAAAAGATCTGAACGAAAAATTAGAAGTTAGGCATATTCGACAGTCATAGTAAAACAGGCCAAATGGAAAATAGTTTTTGTGGAATGATGACTAGAAAACGAAAAAAAATCGTTAAAAAAACTCAAAAATTTTCAAAATGTTTCAAATATTTTTGCTTAAGTTGTTTTGTTTTTTAAGTTTTTGATTCCCAAATTGGCGCTAAAAACTCAAAAACTAACGTAACTCAAGTAAAACTAAGGTTTTGGAAATTTTTAAATGTTTTTAAATCACGGCTGAAAGGGCTATAATATGATATATCACTCGACCCATTCCAATGATTTTTTGTGCTACCTGATTTTGCGTGGAAAACAAAAAGAACAAGACTGCTCGTATCAATGCGAAGCCCTGAATGTTCCGACTGCTTTTTAAGGTTTATGAAGCAGTAGTAACATAAAAAAATTTAAATGTAATAAAATAAAATGAAAAAAAAAATTTTTTTTTTAGATTTGAATTTTTTTTATGAAATCATCACCCCCACACGCCATATAAAGTACAAAAGAATAGATTTCGCTCATTGTAACAAATCAATTATGGCAAATAAGCTTCTTTCAACCAATTTGGAACAATTTCTAAGACGGATTAAATCTCCGCTTACGCGTTAATAGCGCGAAATATATCGCGCGTTAATTGTCCCAAATTGGCCAAAATGGCAATGTTTAAACCCCCATAACTTTACGAAAAATAATCACAGGTGAAATATCTTTTCAAGTTTGAGCTCAGGACAGCAATACCATTTGAATGATATAAAAAAACTCCGTCAAAAATGGCTAGTTAAAAAGTCGAAATTTGTCTGAAGAAAAAAAAACCCACCCCGAGCACAAATATTCCGTTACTTTCGTATCGAAAGTCGGAACAAAAACTAAAACATACCCGTATACGAGTTTACTCCACATTTTTCAAATGTTCAGATCAAAAAACAAAAACCCAACTACAAAGTTTGCAATAGTTGGAATAATAAATTTTAATTTTTTTTCACTCTTAGAAGAAACGACCAAAAATTTCCATGAAGATCTTGAGCACCTTGTAAAGAATGAACAAGATTTGTTCCAGAGAAGACAACATAGATTAGCAGTTACATGATATCCAAATTGCCAAGCTACTTCTTCAAATAACGGTATACCAAGATGTCCATAAAAACAAGTAAAAGCATGTTTCTTAGTTTACCGGCAGAAGAGAAGACAAGTTAATAAGAAAAACAGCTCTGCTGGAACGGGCAACAAATAGCCCTTAAAACATGGAAAATACCTAATGAGCGTCTAAAATTGTCAACCAGGGGTCGTAAAATTTAGTAAATAATTATTACAATCTCTGCTTGATTTCATAAGTATGGCAACTAAACATTATAAATAACCCGCGGTGGTGTTTATGAATAGTTAGAAACACAGAGAAAACTTTCAAAAACGTTCAAAGTTTGGACACGTTATCAGTTTTATGGGGCGACTGATTTCGTGTCATAATTGACCGCGAGGCTCACTCAAAAAGATCAACATTTTAAAAAATAACCTTTGAACACCAATATATTGAATACGGACAGCCCTTTCTACTTTTTGTTTGCTCTCAAATTATTTCTCGCAAAAACCAAATTAAATCATTGAGGGCAATTAGGAATAAAAGCTTTCATAGATATTTCAAATGAAGTGATCATGAAAATTTTATTGACTTTGAAGCAAAGAAAAGGCAACGTGAAGAGATTTAGCTGCTCTGAGGTCCATTGTTCTGTCTGTGTCTTTTATTTCATACTCGATTCCCTTGAGAAATGAGATAGAGCAACCTTAGTTCTTCAGAGAAGGAAAAATAACAGCATTAAATTGTGTCTTCTCTTGTTTTTCCTGCCATTTATTCAATTAGACATTCGCGCTTTACTAACGACGATACACACCCCTTCCCCCTCCCCCTCCCCCTCCCCAGAACTCTTCATTTGCCTGAAAATGCTTGAGCTGGATTGAGATTTAGTTAGTACGTCCAGGTCACAACCCGAAACTTTCCATGAATTAACCAACAATTGACTTGTGACTTAATCAGGGAAAAATAAAAAGAACAATGCTTATTCCAAACACAATAGGTTTCAAACAAAGCTGCTTTGAAATCGAGCATTGAATCCTCGACTGCGTTTGAAAAGAAGATTTTAACCTCAAAATGAATAGCTTGAATTTGCATAATATGCTTTCAAATTAAATTGACTCCTGGGTTTCATTTAGAGTCAGTCGGCAAATAAATTGCCAAAAAGCCGGTAATCTTTGAGATTACGAAACAAAAGACAGTGATTAGAAATACCAAATACAGCTGAGACGACCTTACTATGAAATGACAGATACAAAAAGTCTATGATTACTCAAGTATTTAGCCGCAATTTATGATCGCTCGGCGACTGAACTTTGTTTCATGCGTTGTTTGGTCTATGATGCGCATTCTAAACCAAACTTGGGGTCAGTGCAAATTGAACTCTCATAACAAAACCGTTGACAGAATAAGCAAGAAGGCTTAAGAAGTTGCTGCTCAAGCAACTTCAATGATCTAGATAAATTATTTCACTGTCAAGTGCCACAATCAGGTATGGACTGCGGCAAATTCGTAGCAGTGTCTCTGAGCTGTCCTTTTCCATCCGGGACCTAGTCAAACGACAACTCAGGGTCTTCTTAGTTTCCCTAAACCCCAAAAGAAAAGATCAGACACAGCAGTTAAAAGAATCGGTGGTTCATAAACATGTCATATTTTAAATTTAACTTCGAGTTTTTTAAATCGGAGCTGTATATGCCTATATGTCGCCAATTTTTGCCATAAAACTCATAAACCAGAGCGCCATTGTGTATTGAATAACCAGTATTACAATCGCACGCTCGTCAATTTCGTTTGATATTTTCATTTTTTCTCTCATAACTTCAAATTAAAGATGCTATTATAGTTTACAGACTAGTGGGCTTCAGCTGTTCATACCCCGTTGCTATAAACAAAAGAGACCGTCCCTAAACCAGTTGTCTCGGAAGCACTAAACAAGAATAAAATGAGAGATAAAGGCTTCAAATGCCTACTTGAATCATTTTTATACGACTCGTAAGCTCCGATCAGCTGTCGGCAACAATAAACTAACGCATCTCAGGTGATTTAAAAAAGATTCGATTCAGCTTGTTTGATAATTTATTCATAATTTATTACAGACTAGTTGCTCGAATATCTCCTGAGCTGATAAGTATTTTTCCCTTTACTGCAGTGTTACGTAACTTTTTGTAATTTTTCTTGCAATGGTGAATTTTTTGTTCCGACTTTCGGAGAAAGTGCAATATATTCATGCTTGGTGTGGTTTTTTTATTCAGTCGATTTTCGACTTGTTAACTAAAAGTTTTTGACAGAATTTTTTTATACCATCTGCAAGATATTCTTTTCCTAAGCTCAAATTTCACCTATGATCATTTTTCACAAGTTTGAAAACGGGCTTTTGAAAACTACTAATTTGGCCAATTCGGGATTTTTTAAGTGCGATATATTGCGCATTTATAACAGGAGCAAGAAGCAAATTATTGCATTCCGAATTGAATTGAGGCCAGTAATTTAATCCTATTATCACAAGACCAGACGGTAACAACATCCTTAGTATTTTACATAACGTTACATAACTTTCTTTTCTCAATTTTTTTTGTCAATCATTGAACCAAAAAAACTTGTCAACTGGCCGCAAGTGCAGTCGGAACATTCAGGGCTGTGCCCTGATATACGAGCAGTCTTGTTATTCCAACTTTCCTAACAAACGTAACGGAAAATTTGTGCTCGGGGTATTTTTTTTCTTCAGACAAATTTCGACTTTTTAACTAGCTTTTTTTTGACAGATTTTTTTTATCATTCAAAATGTATTGTTGTCTTGAGCTTAAATTTAAAAAGATACTTCACCCGTGATCATTTTTCATAAAGTTGTGCGGGTTTAAAGATTGCCATTTTGGCCAACATGGGACAATTAACTCGCGATATATTTCGCGCTATTAACGCGTTAGCGGAGATTTCATCCGTCTTAGAAATTGTTCCAAATTGGTTGAAAGAAGTTTATTTTCGTAATTGATTTGTTAATAGGATTTGTTACACTTTGTACTTCATATGGCTTGTGGTGGATGATTTTAACAAAAAAATCTCAAATATAGAAAAAAAAATTATTTTGATTTATTACATTTCATTTTTTCATGTTATTACTGTTTTATAGACTTTAAAAGGTAGTCAGAACATTCAGAGCTTCACCCTGATACGAGCAGTCTTGTACCTTCTCACTTTGAAGTGCCATTTGTTTCAGTTTCTTGTTGCAGCTAAAAAAGCAAACATCGGGAAAATGGATTACATGCATTTTTTAAAGTTGACTGTGACGAACAATTTTGTTATAAACCACTAGGTCAGTATGATATAAATTGCGCATTTTAATAACAAAGCAATCATTTTTAAATACTCTTTCATCTGCGAGGAATAGAAAAGAAAAGATTAAAAATTTATAATTTTCCTTTCTTTTTAATCCGAAATGAAATGCAAAAATCAACATGGGCCATCTGCGCTCTTTCAGTGCAAAACTGGAAAATAAATTGCAGATATAAAAAATTCAGGCTGACTCCATCTATAATTTAAAGATACTATAGTAAAATATGTAGCAAAAATAAGGAATTTCGCATCTACTTATAGCTTGAAAACCCGTAATCTGATATCTTTTTGGTCATATCAGGGAATTCGAACATCTTCAATTTCAAAAGCAGGAAAAGTTAATCATTAAATCGGGTACTCAGAAATTACACGAGGGCAAAAAGGGCAAGGGTACCTCAACAACCCCGGAGCTCAGATTAGTTTTACAAAATCGTTGTCTTTGCTTCACTCAAGAACAACTTCAAACTAAACAGATCAATGAGTGTCGATCAATCTAATGCTATAGTTGATCCCGTAACATTATTTTTCAACAGTAAATTTATCTCTCTCCTTCATCTAAAATTAAATGTCAGTCGTACTCTCTTCGGATTAGGGCACATATCAATTCTGGAGGATAGAGTAAGATCACAAAGCATAACACCAGTGACCGGTTGCTGAACAAATAGCATAGAATGTTCCGACCATATTCATAAAAAAAACATGAAAAAAAAACATTTTTTTTTCTGAATTTTTGTTTTTAAGAGAGGTGGGATCAGGAGAATTAAAAATAAGCTTGGAACGCTATTTGTTAGACATAATAGGGAACAGTTAACTTCAATATGTTTTCATTGCCAATGAAGCGCTAAAAAAATACTCAAAAATTCTTTTTAGAGTAACTTGCTTAAAAAAGCTACAAAATTGATGTTTGTAATGTATTTATTTAATGTGGTCATAAGCGTCTATAATACTAGAGCAGCAACCGGCTAAATTTGTTCGCTGCTCTAAATTTGTCTAGAAAGCAAAATTCTCACGACGATAAACATGGTTTTTCTCCTCAACTCTGAAAGGGCTGACAGCATAGGACAGACCCAGTCCCGCGTGTGCAGAACCAGTCTCATTTAAACGTGTGCACTCCATCAAAAAAAAACTTGATCGACGCGATTAGATGTGGAACGCATTCAAATTTTGATACAAAAACACTATCATTGCAATAGTTAGTGATTGTGCAGAGGTGGTCAGTGAGATTAGATTATTACCAGCAACAGGACAAGGATGAGGGAAGTGAGTACGTATGGCTAACTGTTAATATGTATTGAGATGACTAACTGGGCACTTGTAGTTTGATCACTACTCTGTTCTCCCCGTACTCATTGTGACACTGACACATGTACTCGCCCTGGTCACTGCTCTGCACATGTCCAATCGCCAGTCTGTTGTCAGTCTGCATAGCCCTATGCCAAAATACAAAATACATACTCTCTCAGTCAACGTCGCCATTATGTCAAATTATAAAACACACTTTGCAGAAATCGTGACACGAGAGGGTAATTTAGCATTAAAGTACCACCATGTCTGTAGCTTCTTAACTATTAAATAATTAAAGCTCTGCTAAGATATAAGACAAAATCAGGCTATTGACTTCACCTTATAAATATTATGGCTTTAAATCTACAGCACAAAAAAAAACATCTTTAACAGTTCAGTTCTCAGGGAAAATATGGTAGTGCGATGCATTCGCGGTGGTGTGGGTGCAAAGATCATTCAATGTTGCCGCTTCCCATTTTTTATTGAATTCAAAAAAGGATAGACTTGAAATTGAATTGCGCAATTTGAACGACAGAAGCCAAAAAGGCGCCTTACTTTTCTAGACACGGAGTCTAATTCAATTGATGTCAAGGGGGTTCTTTTTTATCTTCCATTATAATAACGGCACAATAAATCTTTCAAAGCATGAAAAATAGCGGTGCATTAAACACATTGTTTAATGATATTCAGAATCTTGTTTGAGAGCAATTTTGAAAGAGGTGATTTTCGGTACACATATTTATGACGATTGTAGACAAGATGGCGTACTAAAACCATTTATTTGCAAAAAAAAAGAATTGTAAGATGCCTTTTAAACACTTGTGGATGTAAAATAGCAAGACCAAAGAGGCCAATGAATGATTTTTATCATTTCATTTTACAAAATGATTTAGCAATTTTTGCAATCCAATTTGAACCATAAACTATTACGAGCATGTGTTGCTTAAAATATGAACTTAATTTGGCATAATAACAAAGCCCTTACAACCGCTTTTGGCTTGAAAGTGGGGTCGGTCGGACTGTTTTTTGTGCTAAGCTTTTGCAGCATGGGCGTAACGATTAGCATGTGTGCCTATTAGCATGCGTTAATTGCTTTAACTGGGTGCGCTTTCAGCCGAAAAACAAATAAGCCTAAAATTTCAAATCATTTCGAAAACCACTTGATGGCCAAATTTGAATAAAAAAAACGTGAAATTGCAAATCGTCAAACCACAGTCTTTTACATGGGTCTGCTAATGGACACACATGCTAGTAGGCCAAATGATTTTGTTGTGAAAACATTTTCAAATTTTTTTGACGGCTCATATTACATAGCAAAACCACAAATTTATGAAATTTCTTTCAAAAATCCAAACAGTGGAATCACGGAGTTGCTTACGTTCACGTGGGAAAAAAAATAATATGAGAACATAGCAGAACTTAGAAACGGATCTACTTAGCAATCTCTCCCCCTAATTTACTATATTTATTTATAGGGGTGGAGATTGCTAAGTTGATCCTTAAAAACATCTATGAAAAGGGTCCAGCAAACACCTATAACCCGGATCGAGGTGCTCGATTTATATTTCGATTTTCTCGACAAAATCGGTATGTTTCGACCGTCTCAACCACATATTGCGACTTTCTCGATCTAACAAAAAAAGTGTTAGACTTTGATCCACCCAGCTCAGATATGTTTCGACTTTCTCGGCCAAAATTCGATATCTTTTGACATTATCGACATTTTTCTAAAGTTTTTTGTTCGGCTGCGCATAGATGTTTCGACTTTGGTGTGTTTTAAAACGGGCCCAGTGAACCTGGTTGGCTTTGATGCGTTGGTTACCTGGTGGCTGGTATTTCAGTGCCGCCTACTCTGCTCCAGTAGCAGGACACTCTGGGCTGTCCAATCATGGGACAACTCAACACCACACTCTGCGAAACGAACCCAGTCTGCACCATCACCCCATTCATGTCCACCCGAGGGGGGTCTAAACAAACGCAACACACAACAATACACATTCTCCAGGCGTTCATTCATTCTATATAATAGGCCAAAATTTGGTACACTTATGATACTTATCTATGGAAGAATGAATAAATCTAACAGAAAGATGGGGCAGACCTTAAGAAAATATTATGGACAAAAATTTGCCTGCGCTACTTTTACTGTGTTAACTAATCATAAAAACAGCAGAATCATTTTTCCATATATGCCTTTTTTATGGTGCCCAACTATCATACCTAGACCAAAAAAAATTAGTTTCGACATGCTGGCTGCTGAGACTCCTATATAAATCATTGCTGTGCTTGAAAACACCTGAACAACATGTCAATTTTGTCAAAATGTTCTTTTTTCTCTTCAATGAAAAAATCGAAAACATTCAAGTAAAAACAAGCACATGTAACCAAATGCCTTGCAAAAATATAGCACATTGATATAAATTGAAGTGCCGAGTAATAAAAATATAATTATTAGCTTCTCTACATAAAACAGCGGCATATCCTCTAAAAGTCTCTAATTATAAAATAAAAATCTCTTCGTAATTGCAGGTATTGCCGAGTTAATTATAGTCCGACTGTTGAGTAATTGTACAGGTAGTTGATTGCCATATTCACTCTCGATCCATTTGCTTATTACAATAGACCAATTAGCATAAAAATAGCAGACTTATTGTAGTTGTCGTCGTCCAAAATGCATTCAGAGTCAAGATACGAGTTGAATTTTAAATACATTCTTTGATAAGCTACTTGTTTTTCGGAGAACGAATTCTTGAACGGGTTCAACTGCTTACAATTTCTGAATGAATAAAAGTGAACATTTTTTCTTGAGAAGTGAGTATTTTTTGATGAAAAAAGACTTCTTAAAATATCAACTTCCAACAGCAGGCATTTTTTTATTTGAGAATTCAGAAGAAACGTAGCATTCAGCTTATTTCAACTTCAATAGTTTTTCTAGGGTTCTTAATGAGCTGCCGGAAATTTGCGTTCCAGTTCCAAGTTGGAACTTTTTATTGAACTTCAGAAGAAAATATCTAGGAAAAGAATCTTGAGTTTCAACTGAGATCTATAAATTTAATGACATGAAAGCGAATTTTCAGTCTAAAATAGAAGCCGGAATCGATCGACAGAAGCTTTGAAGTATCTCCCTAATTTGATGCAATCAATTATTAGGCTCTACTTCTAAAACCCAAGAGAGATCCGACATTCCTCAATTGAAATAGTCTGGGTTTCATTTCTCAGGCTTTGAATAAATGAATACATTAGAATTAAGAGTGTCCGATCCAAGGAATTACCATGTTATTGTTTGATAGATACCCTAATGAATATTTGAAATATCTTCAGATGCGAAGAATGCATTCTTTGATTACCCAATCTGAGAATTTTGAGTAAATATATTCATGAATCATGCTTAGTTTGTTTCCATTTATTAAGTAAGGACCAATTTCTAAAGTTGAGCAAACCATTTTTTTTCCGGAAAAGCTCCTTTAAAGTTTCTGTTTGATGTACTTACAGACGACTTTAATGAACCCATTTGAACTGTTGAAGTTGTCGGAGCCGGGCTTAGAAGCCACGCAAAAGTAGGAGCCCTCGTCTCTCGGCTCCACATTCCTTATCTGCAGTCCGAACTGATCCGAACTTATTCTGGAGTCTGCCGACACATCTATCTGTACTCCGTTGTGGAACCACCTAGTAGTGCTCCCTCCTCGTTGAAAGGAAGTTTTCAGCTGACAGGACAGAGTCGCAATCTCACCCCACAGAACTGTTTTGTCTTCTGGCACTTTGACAAAGTTTTCATTGGCTGAAACAAAGGAATCAAAATGAAAATGAAAACATTATAAGTAATTATCAGGAATAGTAACTTTCGACATCTTTTAGCTTATTTTCGGCTCCAATATTGGCTGAAAAATTGAGTTTTTGGCAACAAAAGAAAACTTTTCGGCAATTGTCAGTTTTGCGCTAGATTAAATCTAAAATATGCTTTTCCAACATCAGTTTGGTTAACTTTCTCCTCTTAAATATGGGGATGGCCCAAAGTATAGTTACAAGATGAAGTCATGTAGGGCAAAAACCTTCGCCTGAAAAACAACATAAAACTAGCCTAGATTTCAAGGCAACCATAGAGGCAACACTACAGCTAGTAATTTTCATTTGAAACTGAAAGGGTCCTTCCTAGGCATTTTTGTTTCCAAATTTGGGCAATCTTTGTTTTCGGGACGAACTGGAGTACTTTCGCCACTTTTCGGCTGAGCCGTAAATTAAGATTCCTGGAAATTATGCTATCATGATCAAGAAGTAAATTTTGTTTGAAACTTTTGAACTTATATGAGTCACCCAGTTCAGTTCAATGTTTACAAAAACTCCCAAAAGGTTACTATTTTTTAAAAACTTAGCAAAAAAATTAACTTGATAGAACAAAATGGTAGAACAAACATTTAAAATTGGAATCACATATCGAGTTAGGAGGGCAAAATTGACCATTTCTTAATAAATTGGCGTTTCCTATTACCCCTAACTGGCACGTTAAATATGCAGCTTGACCTGGTACAAATGAGCAGGTCCATTCATGGCATAATATGGTAATAGACCCTTGCTTAATTTAACCCCCCTACGAGGGGCAATGAAAATGACACCAGGGGGTGGTTCATATTACTTTTCCCGTGAAATAAAGAAATAACCATCATCTCAACTCCCGCGTCAAAGAGCGTCCAAATGACACGAGCACAAATAGCATCCAATCAATTTTCCTGCGGCCTTAACGAAGGAGCTACCTGCTTAAGCTACTATACCCAGCCCACCGTATTGAGAGAAACGTCACTATATCAGTGTGTATGTGACAGGGCAAAAGTGGAAAATAATTCAGCGGGCATTTAAGACGCGGCGGTACTTGCTCTAGGGCAATTCCCATGGTATATTAATCGACCAACAAACGGCGGCAAACGGACCACCAAACCGAAAAGATATACACCTATATGTTCTGAAAGCTTGCTATGATACTTTAAGTTCTTGAAATCAAATATTATTCGCATGATTGAATGTTTCTGAAATAATCTATTGATTGCGGGAAAAATGTCTAAAACTGTTTTTAAAACGTTGCGAGCTTTTTTTTCGATCAAGAATTAATTTGGGACTTGAGCTGAAATTTCACGTCAAACTGAAGAATCCTTCGTTTAAGTCCTCCAATTTTGCATGCATTAGCACTCCGTGCATTAAGTATTCGACTGCCAGGGTGGAACAGAACGTCTTAATCACCTGAGCGCTAATGGCCAACAATCATTTAGAGAGCCCTTAGCTTGTTGGGTCAGAAAATCAATTTAGAAAAACTGCCTCTAATCTGAGATAGTTAAGACCTTACAATTAAGTGACCATTGTTCTTTGTAAAATTCAGAAAACGAATGGCAGATAAAAATTTGCATTACTTTATAAAAAATAAACAGATTAAACATTTAAAATGTTAGAAAAAATCATGCTGAAAAATACCAATGAATAGAGGAAAGTGATGCTAGTGCTATGAAAAAATTTCAATATTAAAGCAGGCAGGTAACAATGAAGTGAAGTTAGCAAAGTTCAAATTGGATTTTTATTGGGAATCTTTTGGTTTCCGCTTTCGAGCAACTTTTAATTAGCCATAAATTGTGACTGATCACATATACTAATTGCAGCCGTATGAGTTTAACATGGAAACCTGATATAGCAGGGAGATAAAAATAGAGCCAAGATATCAGACGACTTTGATATGAGGCGACTTAATAAAAAGTAGCCAGACATTTATTAAGCCAGCGTCCAACTGGTTTTAGCCAGCATGTACTCTAGATCAGGTGGCCGAGATTGGCGAGATTGGATAAATTGGCTGCCCGATTTCACTTTCTGATATACCAATGTCACACAATTGCCCAACACCTGCAGCGTTTGAACTCATGAAAACGATCCAAAGTCCCAAGTAAACTAGCTATAAAAGATATATCAAAATTTATGGAACTCGAAACGCCGTATCTGATGACAAAATACCTGTTGTTTGTATCCAACATCAATTATTTACGGGGAAAAATAAATAATTGAGCAAACTGAGAGGTGTTTTTTTATCTGCTTAACATACTTGCCTCCCCCCTCACCACAACATGTGTATAACACTAAAACGGAGCAAATCTAACCATTAAGCATTGCAAATATTGAAACTGGTCTGCATGTCCACCTTTTAGAATGAGCGAAGATAGTTAAAGAATTCCATTCTGTCTCACATTCTGACAAAAATGATCCTGGCGGACTGTCAGTGGGTCCGACTATCCAATTCAAGATTAAAAGGCGGATACTGTCCACCACTTATACCCAAAACCTTCTAAAAATGTATCAGAAATCTGGCGATATCTCAAATGACAATAATTCGATTGCGGTTGACATTCTGTTGTGAATTACTCAAAACAGCGTTGTTTTAACGATAACAGTAAATTTAAGGTTTTTTAATATATAATGTCTAAATTTTGTGTTCGAGGAAAAAATGAACAATTAAAGGGGTTGCTATTGGAAATTTCTTACCACAAAAAAATATTTGGCAAAAAATAGTTGCTATAATTCCGTGAGACATTTTGGGGAAAGTTGTTCCACAGCAAGTACAATGCAATGACCCCTGCTAATCAGTGAAGCTTTGATTTCATTAGAGAAACCTGCGCGGTGTGTGAAAGTCTGTCTTCATATTAAACTCGTTCAGCACTGATGCATCGCCAATTGAATGAACAAATTTTGAGTGAAGTGACTGGACCACAAAAGAAGTTCTCTTAAATTTTTAATAGCCAATACTTTGGCAAATAGATGAAAATGTCAGTGAACTTTTTTCCATTCGGAAGAGCGCCCATCAAAAAAAATACCTTTGGAAAGAAAACAATGGAAATTAAAAGAACTTACAAATGCCGATAAAGCCCAACATAAGAGCGTCGATGCATTAAAAACTGAGTCATTTTCACGCGATGTTGATTAAATTAGATTGTTTTTAAAAAATTGAAATTGCAGGTTGACAAAACTACAAAGAAACGTTGCAAACACCGCTATAAAAGGAGGCACTTAAATCAAAAATGAAGGAAAAACTTACTGCTTAAAAATGGAATAAAAAAATAACAATTTCATTCAAGTAATTCGGGTGAAAACATTTTAAGAGCAGTGTATATCTATTCAATTGAATATATGGAGTGTTTAGTTGATTTTATGATCAAAAATAGAATTTTGAGAGCAAAAAATTGCTGATTAATTTGTTACTGTAAAATGGCTACACAAATTCCGATCCGCATTATAGCATCAAATTATAATAGTTTTTTCAAGCTACTCTTGCATATTTTTGCTGGAAGATGAAATTATTATAGCTTGTTTCATCCTGTTTGATATTTTTGATGTTGATTGAAGCAAAAAGTAATCAGCCCCGGTAATGTCTGATATTCGCCCAAGGGAAGGAACTAAAGAGCCTCCTTACAAAGACCCTATTTAGTCAAGGGTGAACTTAATGTCTACGTGAATTTCTCACATAAAGGGGGGAGTGGAATTTGACGACATGATGACCACATGGAAAGCCTTTTTAGTGAGTATTCCGCTTCCGAACAGATAATTCAGAAAGTTACCTAAGTTGCCGAGAGAAGCTGGGATGAGATTCTGAGACTCAGATATCCCTTTTTAGGTCAACCAAATTGATCTCCCGAGCTCTCTTAAGACACAATAAAAACTCTAATTTGCCAAAATTTCTATGGCACATCCAGGGAGCGGATTTAGGGGGGATGCCTTCCTAGGGGATTTGACACCCTCACCCCTCACCACGCAAAGTATTATTTTGGTATTATTTTATCCCCCTTTGGTATTATTTTATGACATCTATTTTCGGCCAATTAACCCAATAAACTTTATAATGGCGCCTTTGGCGCCAATATGTACTAATTTTGAAGGGGAACGTGCACCAAAAAATTACTATTTTTTGGACAAAATTTTCCAAAAAGTGCCCAAAAACTGCATTTTTGACTTGTTTTGTTTTAAGTTTGCCTGTGGCGCAAAAAAATTGTCAAAATAGGGTCTTTATAGTGTTCTGGGAGCGCTCGGAAAATCAGTTTGGTCGTCCTAAAAAAGGTCGACAAAATTTTCGAAAAATTTCTGAAAATACGCCCCTTTAAGAAAATCATAGATCCGCCCCTGGCCACATCTATGCTGATCCTTATGTCCTGAAACTGAGAATTTGTTTTGATTCTATTTTCGGAATAAATTTCACAATGAAATACCCACTTCTGCAAGCAAAAAAAATTCATCTTATTAACCCTGATTAAGAATTTAAGTTCAAACTGATTAAAAGCTTTCAAAAACACACCAGGAACTTCGTCCCGGAAAGAAGGAAATTCGAAAGTATTTCCGCAATATAATTTTAAGCTGTTCATTGCATCATATGAAAAAAAAAATCTTTTGGGGCGTCTCTCAAATGGAGCAGAGAGGATGGATACAATTTATTGGTTTCCTTACAAAGCTCCAGCTAATATTATGAGGCCTCCAATTGTCCCCCATGACAAAAACGGCGCCTGGGTTACTAGCCTAAGGGCCATTAAACAGAACCATAATATACAGGAATGATCAATGCCAAACATTTTTTTTTCTGGGAAACGGCAACCGGGGAAGTCCAAAAAATGTCAGATTTGTTTTGCGTAACACATTTCAAAAACGTATCATGCCATGTAATAACAAAGATTAATCTGACATGTGCGTTTTCGGTTAGGTGGTTTTGCTATTAATAGTGGGACGTGATCAAATATCATAAATAGCTGGTGGACAATATTTGAGGGACAAAAGAAGAGGAGTGTGTGACGGACTAGTGGCGCCTGGCTTTGTTGTCAGAATGCAACACACATTGTCAATTAATGTGCACCTGAGGTACAAGACTGCTGAGGAGAGAGAGAGAGAGAAAGAGAGAAGAGAGCAAGTTTATGTTTGATGCATTCTGGGGATATTTGAGACGACGCAACAGAGACGAATTAATGACGAAAAGGGAAATGGATATTTTTGGCCATATCACTGTGCAGTTTTTACCAGTTATTAGTCAACAAAACTCCAAAAAAGTAAAGTGGTCGCAACATTTTATAAAGGTTATATAAAATATCAAATCTTTCCAACCGAACAAATATTAGCTAAAAACCAAGGATCATCTACACTCAAGATTATAAGGAAGGATTAAAAGCATATATATAAAATGAAAAGACGGCAAGTATAGCACAGAATGTTCCGATCATAGGTCCCAAAAAGCAACTCAAGTTTCCGTAGCTTTTTATTGGAAAGTGATAGAATTAGAAAATAAAAACTTCAAAATTTAGAATATTGCTAAAATAACGAAGAAATTGCAATATAACTACAAAAGAAGTTCATCCTGTAAATCTAGAGTCCATTCCTGCATGCAAATAAATGTAAGGAAAACGATAATTCAGACGCGTTTTCTCGCTACTGATTCTGAGAAAACATTTTAATTTTTTTTTGAAATCCAAGTTGCAAGCATTAGAGTCTCAATGTAATGCAACACTATATCTTTATATACAAAAACAACTGCTTAGGAAGTTAAATTGAGATATGAAGTTTTCTATGCTTACAAGAATTGCCCCTTAAAACAAGAATTGCTTGGATCTTGTTAACTATCCCCCCCCCCCCTATTTCGATTTTCAGAAATTCAACTTGGGCGGCCACATTTTCAATAGCTTAAAGCAATTTTCAGAAAATATATATATTTAAAATTTTTTACGTGGGTAATATACAAATAGTGAGTAATACAAACACGAACGCGCGAAAATGAAAACCCACTTAATTGATGACATTTTTGAAATGCATGTTTTATACGGAAATGGTTGTCAAAAATAAAACATGCATAGGTATGGAAACAGTTAACAAAGTCCAAAAGGGGGGAAATAGTTAACAAGAACCCATCGTTTTGCCCTAGCACCTTGAGTCGGTTTGCCGATTTGGGTAAGTGGTTTTAGCATAAATATCACAACCTTGTTGAAAATTTCTCATGCGCAAGACTGCACTTCATGAATAGGGCACTTCTTACTTTTTTCGGGAAAAAGAGTCTCCCTAATAAAAAAATTACGTATAAAAATTCATTGGATTCTGGATAAGATTATTCACTGATTATGAGGAGTCCCAAAATGAGCTTACAAGCATTTGTTCCTTATCGCATAGCCTCGCATGACCTGATTTCTTCTCAGTACTGTCCCAACAATTAAAAAAGTCTCGTGGGAACCTGGTATTTAGTTTCACCCTGTTCTTAGCAAGTAAAAATCCTTGCATCTAAAAAACTTGACTGCGAAGTTTTATGACTTGGAGTGTTACAGTAGATAAAAAAGGCATCAAATAGAGAAGTTGGTTGTTGCCCGTCTGTGTCATTTTTGCAGGTAGAGACCTTGGGGGATCTGGCAGTGAAATATGTGGAAGAGACGGCCTCAAATGTAGTAAATGAACAAATACTAACTTGATATGTCGACAGAGGAGTTGTCTGACTTCCACTGAGTGCCCTTGGAATTGGTGAGGGTGCAGCCATAGATGCCAGTGGTCTTGATGGGTTCCACCTGGGCGGAGAAGGAGAGCACGTGCACACTCACAGCCTTCACACTCTTCCCAGCCTCAATCACAGTCTCCTGCTGCCACTCCTGCTCCCAATGGGCAACTAGAACAGCAAAAGTAATTAATCATGATTCAAGTCATACTCATCACATCCACAGCTGATCAGACCGGATGACAAGGACACTACATGCTCATTACATTTCATTTGGCTCATTTCATTTTTTCACCATTTAACTTCACAAGTCTTTATCGTTACAGTCAATGTTGTTTTTTCAGATCGAATTGGAAAATCTCAAGCAAACATTAGAAAACCTTTAATCGATTTTTATAATATACTTTTTTTTTGCAAAAATCTTAGTTTCTTAGTTTTCATTTGTAACTCTACCTGAATTTTACTTTTGCTTGCATGATTTTCTGTCATGAAGTTTGAAAATGACTTGAAGTCAGATCATATATATATATAGTAGCGATTTAGGGGGGGGGGGGGCGGACGCCCTTCCCTCAGAGATACGACTCCATGCCGACCCAAAGGGTCCCCCTTTGAACTATTTTGAGATATCCATTTTTGGCAGACGGACCCCTAAATTTTTCTAATGGCGCCTTTGGCACCAACAAATACTAATTTTGAGAGGGGAGCGCGCGCCGAAAAAAACGCAATTTTTTGGTCAAAAAATTTTTAAAAGTTTTGGTTAAGTTTTTGGCCTTTTTTGGTCAAGTTACGGTCTTTATAGTTTTTTTGAAAATCCGCCCCTCGAGAAATTCCTAGATCCGCAATGATTTTGATTTGAATTTAATATTCGTGTATAGAGACATCTTCAGTTGTTAAACGGCGAGTTCAAGTGCACATGACTGATAAAAAACGGAAGCAAATATATTTTAATTTGTGTAAAATAAATTCAGCAAAATGCTTTGAACTTGAGTTTTCTTTGAAGACATCAATGTCAAACAGATGCATGAAATGAGAACAAAAATTCTATTCAGAGACATGAAAAATAATTGAATTCAGTTATCTCGCGTGAACAATTCGTAACTAAAGAACAGAGTGCATTATGGTCTCGTGGGAGATGATTCCAAAGAGAAGGTATCCATTTTGAAATTGAAGCGGATGATAGATTAATTGATACAGATCTTTTTGATGTCCGAAGATAAAGCAAACGTTCGGCAGTAAAAGACAAAATTGAACAATGAAAAAATAACGCTTTTCTTCACACGATCAAAAGAGTACCAAATTGCTGTGCAATTAGCGCGCAAGATTCCCAAATTTTTTTCCGAAAAAGTTTTTGCAAGGTAATTTGAATTTCAATTACAAAATTTTTTGATTTATAAAAAAAACTTAGAACTGCAAAAGCTACTGTGTATGAGGAACTCAAAAATGCAATTTTCCAAAGCAGGAAACGAATTTAATTTTTTTACAAGACAACAAATCAATTCGTTTCAGGTTGAAGCTCTGAATATGTCGATAAATTGTTCAGAGCTTCAGATTTTCAGAGCTTCAGAGCTTCAGAAGTTGTTCAGATAAAAATTGGAACAAAAAAGAAATCATTGTCCCGACTTTCGTAACGAAAGTAACGGAATGTTTGTGCTCGGAGTGGGTTTCTTCAGACAAATTTTGACTTTTTAACTAACCATTTTTGACGGAATTTTTTAAATATCATTCAAACGGTATTGTTGTCTTGAGCTTTAATTTGAAAAATTTGATCATTTTTCGTAAAATAATGGGGGTTTAAAAATTGCCATTTTTGCCAATTTGGGACAATTAACGCGCGATATATTTCGCGCTATTAATGCGTAAGCGTAGATTTAATCCTTCTTAGAAAACGTTCCAAATTGGTTGGAGAAAGCTCGTTGTTCCAACTTTCGAAGAAAACGGAATATTTATGCTTGGTGTGGCTTTTTTTAAACAGTTAATTTTCGCCGATCGAAATAATAGTTTTCAACAAAAAATTTTTTTAAACCCTGTAAACATATCGACTTCCTGAGTTCAAATTCAAAAAGATATTTTACCTCTGGCTTTTGTAAAATTTTAGGGGTTTGAAAATTGCCAAATTGGCCATGTTCTGGACTAAATTAGGCGCGCTTTGAAGAGTTTATTCATAATGCTGAGAGCGTAACGCGAATTGTTTTTGCGTGACAAATTATCCCGCTCAACATGTACAAAATGTATAGGTTTTCAATATTTTCTTTTCCCAAAAACTAATTGATTTTAATTAAAGGACAGTCGGAACATACAGAACTTTTCCCTGATATACAAGCAGTATTGTTTGCCATAATCGATTTGTTACTAGGAGCTAAATTTATCACTGTGTACTTTATATGGGGTGTGGGGGGATGATTTTCACAAAAAAAATCTCAAAATAAAAAAAAAACATTTTTGTTTATTACATTTAAATTTTTCAAGTTATTACTACTTCCTAGACTTTATGAGGCACTCGGAACATTCAGCGCTTCGCCCTGATACGAGCAGTCTTTTTTATATTCAAAAAACAAAACAGCCTTTTTAAAATCAAGTAATATGCGATAATATTTGTGTCTGATAAGTAACGTTAGTGGGTCCTTTATCTTGCCTATCTTAATTTTTGAGAAAAAAAATTCACAGCTGATGGAAAATATTCTGACGTAGATCTTCAAACAATTTTAAATAAACATGGCAAAAACAATTTTTTCGATGGTATGAAAAAAGCTTTACTACACGCGCAAGGGAGAATAGACATTCTGATTGCCATATTGAGTTCCTCATAGTTTCATAGTTTTTGCAGTAGCTTAACATGAAATATTACATTAACATTGACATATTAACCATATTACACATCCGAGGAAAAATTTATCAGGCTCAACTTGAAATCGGACTAAAAAATAATAGTTCTTACTGCATGAGAATGGAAAAAAGCTCATATTATAAAGAATGCCTAGACATTTATTAGCAACCGTACATAAAACTGAGATTTTAATCCCCGTTGGAGGTATTAAAAATTAAAATTTTGCACTTGAACTTCCTAAAGAGAATTTTATGCTGTTTTTTATTATAAAAGAGTTTCAGATAGAATTTTAAATTGTTTTTCCACTGGTTGATTTTAAAGCCACAACCAGACAGAGGGGATGGGAGAAAGATGAGTCATCTGTTATTTCAAGGACTCAAAAACTACTCATATGTTAAGAATTGAGGAAACGGTTATGGTGTACTGCCTGCTAAAATTGAAGGACTTGAGATATTTAGAACAGCACACAAAATCAAGTTTAGAACATTTGTAACTTATTGAAAAAATTAAATGCATTAATATCAGGGGCGAATGTGAAGCAATAAATACACAATTTATATCACTTTATTAAAATCGAACTTTTTCTCAATTTTGTGCTTTTCTTTGTTTAACACGATATTGCTTCAAGGCAACTGCTTTTAAAAAAGCAAAATCGGCTCATTTTTCTCATTTGGCTGATGGGATGGAAAAGGGAAATGAATAATTTCTGCATCTTTAGACGCGTTTTAGCAATTTAAATTGCTTTTTGAGAATTACAGCTGTAAATCAACACTTAACAGTTATCTATGCCGCAGCTCAAATTGTACCATCAGTTTTTAATTAATTTCAAGAAATGCTTGATGAGCATGAGCAGCAAATTTTTGAAATGAATAAATTACTCAAAGTGGCCTTTTCTGTGCTTTTATAGGTGTTGTTTTTTTCACTAGTAGTCAATCATGCGTAAATCATTTCCTAACATTTGGATAACAGAGGTTTTTTGTTTTCATGAAGTGGAATTAATAGCCTGAATCAGTATCACCTGACCTCAAGATTGATGATGGCATTAACGTCACCTTCTAGGTATAAACATGCCATCTAATCTCCTTGCGACAAAGTTGTAAAGACAAAATTTAACCCCTTTTATTTGGAATAAATATCATGACAATGATTGAGTCCTTTTTTGTGATTTATCTTTTTGAAGCAAATATTGATACCATGTTTGTTATTCAAGTTAACAGGATTTTTGCAGCTATAATTTAAAGCGCATCTAATGAAACTTTTGAAGCTTACTCCAAATTTAACGAAAAAACTTCAAATTAGGGAAGGGGAGGGTTTCCAGAGCTTGCTTTAAATGCTATAAATGAAGACGTTACCTTAAAGTTTGTCCAAAACGGAGACCAGAGGCGCCTAATTTTATCCAAATGTGACACGATTAGCTTCCTTCTACATAAAAACAACCTGGTGCGCTGCGTGAATGAAATGGTTCCAGTGCGTGAGCTTGCAAAGTTTTCACGGAAGATAAATTGACTTCAGGTGCAACCTCGAAGTAGGGCGGATCAAATGGTGGCAGTTTAAGCTGAGAAGGACACGGTTGATAAAAAAAATGTGATTATGGGCATGATTAATTAAACTAAAGACAAAAATTTGCATCTGGGTAATGTTTACTTTTCGAACTTGCTTAAAGTCTATTTTGAACCATCGGAAATTTGAAAGGATTTTGAAAATTTGCGAACAGCCTCGAAAACTTTCCACACTTGAAATGCGACAAGAATATTCAAACTACATTTTTTACAGTGGGTTGCGCAGAAACTTTTCTAGTTGAAAGCGGTTTTTCGGAAAATTTTGAAAATTTTGTCTACCTTATTTTAGGTTGAGCAATTTGATTTTCCGAATTCTCAAATGACCTATTTTGTCAAAAAAATCTTCTGTGCCGCAGGCAATTGTTTGACTAAAAATGACTTTTGAGCACTTTTTTTTTTACAAAAAATGACCAAAAAATTGCGTTTTTTTTGGTGTGCGCTTTCCCATCAAATTTAGTGATGTTGGCGCCGAAGGCGCCTTTAGAAAATTTTTGAGGTTGATCAGCTAAAAATGGAGGTTGTAAAAATATACCAAAGGGGGATTCTTTGGAAAAATTGGCAACCAGAATTGAGGAGGAGGTGCGGGAGCGGTTGCCCCTCCCCCCCCCCTTGGCAAGCTACTGGGTTTCCATATAAGTATTGATTACCAATACCTGAAAGATTGTAACTGACCTCCATTTCACAATCATGTACATCTAGGACAAGAATATTAGCCCTCAACTTCATGTCAGACGTTAAATTTTGCATGCAAAAAAAAAGTTTTGGAAAATGTTTGTTTCAGTACAAAA